CCTATTTATAGGCACTCTGAACTGTGCCCGGGCACAGATCTGGCCGGCCACCTCAGGGTGGCTCGGCTTTGGCCGAGCCACCTTGAGGCGGCTCGGTTTGGCCGAGCCCCTCTGGGTTTGCTGTTTTCCGTTGTTTTGTGTTGTGTCCGTTTTCCGGTTTTGTCCGTGATTTGGTTGATTGAGACTCAGATTTGTTGATCTGATTTGGTAGTAAGTCTGATTCCTGATTTGGCAGTAAATCCACTTCTGAGTTCGAGTCCGAAACTGATCTTGATTCGATCGTGATTCGTTTGAGTCTGTTCTCGGTTGGATGACTCGTTGATTCTTTGACACTTGGCTTGATTCCGAACGCGTATGGATGCATTCCGTCGCTTGCGTACGATTCGTCGAACTCGTCGCCTCGTTGGTTCGTCGGTTTGTGCCGAGCTGAGCTAAGGGACCTATAAGCAATTTTATATGCCTACAGATACCCCCTCCAAAGTATTTCAGTCTCGTTCTTTTATAGAAGAGTCTGGAATACTTTGGATATGATCGTCCCCACCTTTAGTCGGTGTAACGGGACCTTTGGAATGATCTCCGTTCTTGATTCCTTCAATCTTCCAGGTTATTCGGTGCTTTGTCGAATATCTGTAAGAGTTCCGGTGCTGCATTTATTGTCTGACCGTTGTCGGAATTTTAAACTTGGAGTTGATTCCTGATCTTTTAGCTAAACATCGATTGTTGGCGTCGAGTCTTTATTTGCAACGCGTTGTCCGGCGTAGTGTTGTTGAGTTATCCTTAAGAATATTTATAAAAACATATTCTCCAGGAACTTCTCAAACCAAAAATAGGGAATAGTTTATACTCATATACCTTATTGGAGTATTAAGAAGCAGTTTATACTCGTATACTTTTCGGAGTGAGATTTTTTCATTGCAACGCATTGATAGGCGTTGACCTAGGGTTACGCGTTGACCGGCGTTGACCCTAGGGTTTCGAATGTCATACGTTGACTGTTTGGTCGCAACACGTTGACTGGCGTTGACCTAGGGTTATACGTTGTCCGGCGTTAACCTTAGGGTTTTGAATGTCGCTGGATGCTCAAGTCACGAGACCAACTAATGAAGCTGATGCGTCAGTGACTCTCGTATTTATAGGATTTTTGGCAAACACCTAGGGTTACGCGTTGTCTGGCGTTGACCCTAGGGTTTCGAATGTCATACGTTGACTGTTTGGTCGCAACGCGTTGACTGGCGTTGACCTAGGGTTACGCGTTGACCGGCGTTGACCTAGGGTTTTGAACGTCGTTGGATGCTCAAGTCATTTGATGAGCCTTTACCGACTACCGTTTGAGTCGGGCTAGCATGCGGATTATCTAAATCTGTTCCGCATGTGACGTTGTGCTAAGAGAGTTAACGCTCTTAGTGCTACGATATTGAATACGTAGACTTCGTCTTTCTCACGGGAATAGACTACCCGGCGACGCGTGTTAGGCGTTGACTTTAGGATTTTTGGCTAATCCCCAGCCTTCAACGGATTTGATTAGCCTTTACCGACTACCGTTTGAGTCGGGCTAGTATGCGGATTGTCTCAATCCCCAGAATCGAACTCTGGTGTCTTTTTCTTCGGAGAAAGACTAAACCAGCGACGCGTGTTAGGCGTCAGCATATCCTTTCTTAGGATTCAGGATGACATTCCCCATGCGTGTAAAGCATGGATTTTTGGTTTTATTAATAACGCCCTGCCACAATGTTGAATATGTGGACGGGTGTTCTTTTTTAACGGTTAAGAACTAACCGGCAGCGCATGTTAAGCGCAGACTTATCCTTGCTTAGGTTTCAGGATAGAATACCCCAGAACCGAACTCTGGTGTCTTTTTCTGCGGAAAAA